TGATTTCCCTACAAGATTAAGTACCTGAAAATTCAAAGGACAAAACTCACAGGACTCTTCTGACATTTCAAGATTCTGGTTTTCAAAGAGCCAAAAGTCAAAGATAGTGTAGATTACCTCACCATTTAAATGCTTACTGACATTGGACCACTACTCATTCAATTTAAAACAGGAAATAATTTTTGATTATCTAATTCAATGATAGCTGAAATCTGAATATTCAGAATACAGGTCCAGATCACTTCATATGTATTCACTTCCTATCAATTCAGATTGAGGTGTCTATTAAAGTATAGCAATGATATGGTTTTTTTGCCTTTTTACAATGTAAACTTTTGAGGCCCTACCATTTATGTCTAGGTGCCACAAAAATCTGTTCTAAGTGGAGTTCTAAACCTATATTTCTTATGACTCGGTTAATATTGCAGATGTTCCCCTACACAGGAATTGTGCTCAATTGGGTAGGACACATTTCAATGGCACATACAGGTAACAGAGATTTTTTTTTCCCTGACAGAAAGAAAGCTTAAAGTAATATGCTAACTAAATATTAACTGAATACTAACTAAAATCATGTCAAATGTACTAGCAAACTGAAAATACACTCCTGAAAAATGTCAGGAAAGGAAAAGGGAAGACAAGGGAAGTGTCATACTTAGAAAAGACTGAGCTCAAGGAAAGGGAGTACATCTACTTAAGTAGTAACAGTGATAGTTCAGGGGCTTCTCCATCAGCTCACCTTTGCCTGGAATTCCTTTAACAGAGGACAAAGTGGATTAAGGCAAACAGAGGTTAAGTGACTTGCCCAGGGTCACACAGTAAGTGTCTGAGGGCAGATTTGAACCCTGGTCTTTGACTCCAGGGCCAGCATTTAATGCACTGAACCACCTTTCTAAAATACTTTTAAAAAGTGGCTATCATGCTCATCAAGTCCTGTGGCATTAAGAGATAAAAGATTTAAAATGTAAGTTGCTAGTTGAGCTAAAATCTTTGGCAGTCAAGGCACTCTATCACAATAAAGCAGGAATGAGCCAATCAGCAAGTATAAATGATTGGACCTGTATTCAAAGATGGAGGAACAGGTTAGTGAGCAGGAAGATGATGGATGCCAGACAAGGTTGCCACAAAGAGATCATAGAAACTGAAGATCACAGATTTAGATGTGGACTGATGAGTAACTGAGGCGCAGAAAGGAAAACTGTTTTGACTGAGGTCACCCATGTAGTCAAAGCGGGGAAAACTGGTGAAGAATTGAGAAGCTGAGAATGCTAAAGGTGATTCTAGTAATTTTCCACTTTTGCCTAGGATCTTCTCTTTTTATTTACCACATAGAAGCTGTTGAAGGAGTAATTTTCATTTGATTGGGAAACAGAAGACCTGGTTCAAATACCACCTCTGTCATTTACTCCTTGATCCTTCAGGGCCTCGGTGTAATCATCTATCAGATGAGGGGACAAAGCCATGTGGCCTCTCAGGCACCTTTCACTTCCAAATCTTTGATAGAAACATAAGCTTGATGGAGTAAAATTATGTGCTATCAGTGAGAATGCTGCTTGTGAGATGTTCGTTGTATTATATAATTTCTGGGTTTTGGTGGTTTTTTGCTAGTTTGTTTTTTTGGTGGAATGAGAGTTTATTTTTAGTATTTAGCTGAACAAAAGGTATGGCTGGCAGGGCTAAGTCTACATATGACAGTAAGTAGCATCTTTCATGGTTTGAGAACAAATCAGTGACTAAATGCATTGTCTCAGTTCTGTCAGACTGAGCCCTGAATACCATTTGATAAAGAAGATGGAGCTGGAAACCAGCCTGGAGAGTCAAGGAAAATCAAGTACAGGGTCAACTTGAACAGATAATCTGAAACCAGGGAGGATGCAAAAGCTTTTGGTCAAAGACAGAGCTGAAGGTCAAAACTAAACAAACCTGCAGGAAAGCAGAAACTAACCAGACACAGGAGGGTTTTTAACTTGAGGTAAAGGCTGCTTCAGGCAGAAAGCTTCCTTTTTTTTCTGCTTTAGCTGAAAGAAATAGCTAGCTTCCATCATATGCTCAGTCTAGAATCTAGAGGTTCAAAGCACATTATTACACAATGAACCACATATGGTAGGGGCTGACAAATTTCAAAACCCCAACCCCCCCAAAAAAATCTTTGGCTTCTGCCAAAGAGTGCATTTTAAAAAATTAAAGTCAATATTAGGCACATGAATTTATTAGGTTGCAGTTACCACATCTATAAAGCAGACATGCTACAGTTTCACCTGTTTCAGTAAGTTGTTGAAAGGTCAAATGAAATAAGGCATGAAAAGGGCTATAGAGATATGAATTTCATGAAGATAGAGATTTGAATCCTTCTCAGCAATATTAGTAATATGGTCCTGGTCAAGTCACTCATGAATTGAAATTCTTCATCACACTCCAAGAGAGTCATCACCGGTGACTTCATTATCTTCTAACATATCATCACCTTTGATACTCACACCTCATCAATACCCTCTGTCCCTAGGACCTCTCTGACTGGAGGGCAGAGCAAAAAGCTCCTTTCAAAACTGCCATTTAAGAAAGACATCTAGGACATCTATCTCTTCATGTCCTATCTAGGTCTACTCCTTTGAACTTCTCTATCATGCCAGAGCTCTGGGTACCTTCCCATACCTCCCATCTTTCATTATCCTTTTTTATACTGTCTTACCCCATTAAATTCTTAGGTCCTTGAGGGAAGGGGCTGTCTTTCTTTTCCACATTTATAATCTCAGATTTCAGCACTGTGCTTAGCATATTGTTTTTGTTTGGTTGTTTCAGTCATTTCTTACTTTTGCGATCCTATTTGGAGCTTTCTTGGCAAAGATATTAGAGTGGTTTGTCATTTCCTTGTCCAGCTCATTTTATAAATGAGGAAACTGAGACATACAGACATACTCCATCTCTGTGCCACCTAGCTGCTCCTATATATATGTGGTTACATATCTTATATTAGTTACTTAATATTATGACTATTTTCATTCCATGAGCAAAATCATAATAGCATTAAAGGACAAATAGAATTCAGCTATGCAAATATTTGCTTTTACCATAATTTTTTCAGGAACAAATTTAAAGTACAAATAGCATTTACTTCATGACGTCCTGTAGAGTGAACTTCATAAAGAACCTACAGAAACAAATTCACATATAATAATAAAAGTCCTATCACTCAATGAAAAACATCAAATAAGAGGGTAGTCTTATTAGCTAAAAGGATTCCATTTTGTAAATATGACCTAATGAAGTTAATTATCACCTTGGAGAAAATTCAGTGGTATCAAAAGATGGCAATCAAACCAAACATGTTTGTTCAAATGTATGTTCTCATTTACTGCACGTGTGACTTTCTGTCATATGTATGACTGCACACTTATAAGAATAGACATTTAACAGATGCTCAAAATATCCTGTATCTTGAAACCGCTTTATTAACTTTATTAGAACCTGAATATTTTAACCACTGAACTATAACTTATAGCATTAAAGAATTGTTAGAGACTCCCAGAGGTTAAATAAGTTGGTTATGATCACACAGCTAACTGATTTTTTCAGGCTGGATTTGAAGCCAGGTCTTACTGGCTCCACATGTAATACTTTATTCATTATGCCACACTGGTATTTATTTCAAGGATATTTCTATGAAAAAAATCACCTGTGATTCCTCATGCACATCATAAGAAATGGTAGGAAAAAAATCTGCCCTTTCAAATATTAGTACTACCATAATATCATTTTTTTCATATAGCCAAATATGGCCACCTTAAATTCTTACAGACCACCTTAAATTACAAATCAATACATGGACTGAACTCCAAAGCACTGAGTGACCCCCTTCTCCTCCTCCAAAAATATAACCAATATGAAGTCACAAAGCAGATATATTATTGGCAATCTATCACAGTTTATTGTTATTTTAAGTGAACAGAATAATTTGTTTAAATTTATCCTTGAGAAGGAGATACGATATAATTAGGTAGCCACTAAAAGTGTCTGGTAAAGTTTTATTGGTCAATTAGAAATCTGGTGAGAGAATGAGATGAAGGAAATATTCACTTCAGTGCTATGAAAGGGAAAAGTAAATTTAAAAAAATAACTTGGAACAGATTATAATGAAATAGAGTTTGTGTTAAATACTTGTTATGATTTCTTATTCTGTTAAGATTTACAATCACATTTTTATCTTTGTGAACTGAAACAAGTTAGAACAAAAACAAATTCAAAATATTTATGTGAACTCATTTTCTCATTCTTTTTAATATAAATTTGCCTAGATTTATTATTTAGGACTGTAAGGATCTTAAGGAACTTATATCTTTAGAGAGTGCATGGAGAACTAGGAGATTAAGTGAATCATATAGGGTCACAAAGTTATTACGGGTCAAAAGCAGGACTTGAAACTACATCCTTCTGACTCTAATGCCAGCTTTCTATTTTTTCTTTAAAACTGCTTCTGGGTCTACTTGTGATATTTAAAGTAATATAAATTTCCCCTAAAAAAGGAACTATGGAAATTAATGTGTCATATTTGACCATTCTTACTAACATCTTAAATTAAAACATTCTCATGCTGATCTGCCCAGAAATCTGCATAATGAATAGATTCAATTCCATTCAACAAACAATTATTCAGTATGTCTGTTGTTACACAGCTCATTATTCTAGGTATTTGAATATACTGCAGGTTCGAGATTTTCCTCAAAATGTAAGTATGTACCCCAGAAGTATCATGGGTTTGTTTATTAGGTGTCTCCCCACAAAAGCTTAAGGATGTTTTGCTATATTTAGAGAAAGCATTATCTGTTAGAAAAATCACTTTCTGAATAACATTAGACAGCAATAGATGGACCTGAAGCAGCCCATAATATACGTATAATATTGCCTTTGGATACCCTCTCCTGTATTGGAGGCCTGAGACAGCTCTTTGGACATTCACTATGCTGTCTACCCCATATTCCAATCCTGTCAAGGTGATTACTTACATTATTTTTCTGCAAGACCTGGAGTGCCTTGTTGACATTGTTCAGAGCATGAACTCTTGTGGAGCCTTTTTCTTTTGGCTGCAGGTAAAAGCAGATATTTATTGGTCAGCACAGAAAACAGGCATTTATTTCATAAAATTTACCCTTCAATTTGCAGTTTTATGATGTTCAAGAAAATGATGTAAATATATGAAAACAAGTTTTGAAAGGCATATGTCAACTATTAACAATCATTGACACAATATCTAATTTGATTTGTGCCTCCCCTTTTTTGGTATTCTATGTACCAAGATTCATGCAATAATAATAATAATTATTATTATATTATCAGGCTATTTTTGTTATTATTATTTTGATATTTATTTTGATTTTGTTCCCATGGCTAATTTGGGGTCAGGACCACAAGTAGCAATGTAGGAACATCAGCTTATACAATGTAAACTCACATATTCATCTTGACTTGTCAGTTTATTCATATGAGTTGGAGTTTCATCCTTACTTAAAGAAGGCAATGTAACATAGTATCAAACGTCTCAATTTCTGTTAATAATGCCACAATTCGTAAAACTCAGGCTCAAAATCAATCAACCTGGATTTATTAAGCACCTGCTATGTGTTTGCCATTGTGCTGGGTACTGGGAAAACAAAACACACAAAACAATGAAGCTACTTCTCTCTCTAATGGAACTGGCATTCTAATGGGGAAGAGAAGAACACACCTGAATATTTCATGTGTGTGTTATTTATATTTATATATATATGTGTGTGTGCATGTGTATATACATATAAGTATACATGTCTATACACATATGTATACATGCACCCATTTGTCTAGAATAAATACAAAACAAATACAAGCTAGTTATGTGAGTAGAAACTAGCAATCAGGAGATCAGGAAAGGCTTTGAAAATAGACACGAGCTCTGTTTTGCAGTAAGGGAGGATTAAGATGGTAGATTAGGGAAAACCTGTGGAACTCTCTCAATATTCCCTTCCAAATGACATTAAAATTATTTCTCAATTCAAATTTTGGAGCAGTAGAGGCAACAAAAAGTCAGGGTGAGACATTTTTCTGGCCTAAGAAGATCAGGAGGTCTGCAAAATAGATTTGTGACCTATTTTGGGTGGAGGCCTGTCCAGAGCATGCACATGTGACAGCAGCAATAGCCTCCACAGCAGCAACTTCCAGAGCTCTTAGCCCAGAGACATTCTGGGTCACAGTTCTAAGGCATTTAGGAGAGCTGTGGGTGGATCACAAGGAAAAGGGACATTTGATCCCACTTCTGTGTCAAAGAAGCAAAAGAAAAAATGCACTTAATTAAAAGGGATAATCAGGGAAACCACATTTTGCTAATAGGCACCATAGACAATGAAATAACACAAAAAATTATAGCAAGTTTCTCTAACAAAGACTTCATTTCTCAAATGTATACTTAATAGAGAACCGAGTCAAATTTATAAACATAAAAGTTATTCGCCAACTGATAGATGGTCAAAGGACATAAACGGGCAATTGTCAGAAGAAGAAAACTAAAGTTATCATTAGTCGTAGGAAAAAATGTTCTAAATCATTACTGATTAGAGAAATGCAAATTAAAAGAACTCTGACCTACTACTTTACACCTATCAGAAATGACAAATGATGGAGGTAGTCAGGGAAAAGTAGGTACATTAATGAATTGTTAGTGGAGTAGTGAATTGGTACAACCAATCTGTAGAACAATTTGGAACTAGGCCCAAAGGACAATAAAACTGTGCTTATACTTTGACCCAGGGTCTATATAACAAAGAGATCAAAAAAAAGGGAAAGGACCCATAGGTACAAACATCCCTCTTTTTGTAGTGACAAAGTGCTGGAAATCGAGAGGGTACTCATCAATTGGGGAATGGCTGAAGAAGGTGTAGAATATTACTGTAATGAAGTACTATGGTGCTGTAGAAAATGATGAGGGCAGTGGTTTCAGAACACAAAGAAGCAAAAACCATGGCAACCTATATGAACTAATGCAAAGTGAAATGAGAAGAACTGAGAGATCATTCTGCATAGTAACAATGATGTTGTAATGATGATCAACTATGAAACACTTGGGTATTCTGATCAACACAATGATCAAAGATAATCTCAAAAGACTCATGATAAAAAAAAAATGCTATCTACCTCCAGAGAGAGAACTGATGAACTTGGAGTATAAAGTACAGTTTTCTTTATTTTTTCTTGCTTTTAAAAATATGGCGGATCTGCAGATATATTTTGCATGATTTCACAAGTAAAATTGATAACATATTGCTTGCCCTCAGATTGGGTGGAAGGAAGGGAGAGAATTTGGAACTCAAAATTTAAAAAGAAAAGACTGTTAAACATAAATTAATCAATTAAAAAAGAAAGAAAATATAGACTATGGAGAGTTTGGACTAAAATAGAACAAGATAACAGTATAGTAAGAGAGAGACAGCAGTAGGAAGGGATTTTCATCTTAATACATAATGTTCTTAATATTCAATGTTGCTCTGTCTTCAGCCTCTCTCTTTTTTCTATCTTATTTCCTTTTAAAATAATATATCCTTCCAGACCCTCTTTCTACTCATTGTTTACCATCCCATTGTTTCTAAATTCTACTTGTTTTAATTTTTTTTTTTTACCTAGGCCTCTGATTTCATCGCTTACTCATTTTTCCACCCTCGATTCCTGTGTCAGGGCCAACCCAACCTCTATGTACTTCTGGAAGGAATAATAACAGGATGTTCTTTATCACTGATTTCTATTATCTGGTATATTTGTATCTGGAGAGTTGTGCTGTGTATTCTTTAAGAATTTTGGGAACGCTGACCAGAACACTGCACAGATGGCAGTCTCCTTGGACTGGTCAGCAGCCAGTTATGTGCTGAGGCGATTTGATTCAGGACAAGCCTTAGTTATTGCATTCTTTCCTGGTCAGAGCCTTTTAGACTTCTGAGAACTTCTTTGGGATCTAAGTGACATAGGTGAAGGACCCTGTCTGGTATCCCATCTTTCTAATTTTCATTCTCCCCATTCCCCCATAATGCACATTTTCAGCCTCTAGCCTAGTTCCTGTATTAGAATCTGTGATTTCATTAGTATTGTGAACTCCAAGTTAAGAAACTCCCCCCTACTACATCTATATCTATCTATCTATCTATCTATCTATCTATCTATCTATCTATCTATCTATCTATCTATCTATCTATCTATCTGTTTCTTCCTTCCTTCCTTCCTTCCTTTCTTTCCTCTTTCTTTCTTTCTTTCTTTCTCTTTCTTTCTTTCTTTCTTTCTTTCTTTCTTTCTTTCTTTCTCTCTCTGTCTATCTCTCTCTCTCTATATATATACATATATCTACATATCTATCTACACATACATATGTGTGTATGTGTTTGTATACCTGCACTACACACCTGCACTACAACATAAAGTTCTAAAAAAGTTCCCTTAGCCCCTGTGAGCTTAGGTGACTTACACAGGATCATACAGCCAGCATGTTTTATAAGACTCCTTGACTCTAAGGTTGGATTTCAATCTACTATACTATGTCAAATTCGCCTCCTTATTATTTATACTTTGAACATTTGTGCACAGACCTCTGGGGCCATGCATTGTTTTGGTGGAATAGAATAAAGCCTTCATTTATGTACGTAGATATTTCTACAAACACTTGAGGAAAGCAGGCCCATCTTCTTCACCAAAAGCAGCAACTACTACTGACAAACTGGCACCAATAATCTGATAAAGACAAGAGCTTTGGGAGTGGTAGCACTGCCAAATGAGGTCCTTCTAGATCAGCCATCATCCAGGGAAACAACTCCTGAAGAGTAGGGGCCACCCATCCCCAGCAATTGCCAGTTGGGAGGTAGGGCCAACCCAGATGAAACATCAAGGCACTTTAAAGGACAGATGGGAGTCACTTGCCAAGCAAGTCCAACCACAACCACCACCTTTATTAACTTCTGCCTTCTGACTCCTATACAGACAATAAAGGAGCCTGAACCCAACAGCCCTAGAAAGAAAAATTCTTCACGTGTCTTTAGCACAGTGTCTTTAGCCATCATCCTGGGAAACAACACCTGTGGAAATCAAGCTTGGCAATATTTCTTGCAGGTGATGCAGCTATAACCACCGAGGACCAAGAAAATGAAGTTCTTGCCATCAAAGTCATTGTCAAATGGTTCAAGATAAGGAATATATAATATTTTTCCAGTGGAAATGATATTAAAAAATAGGCATTACCATCTGATTTGCCACTAAATCCAAAGGACCACAGGACCTTTGTGATTTTCAGCTAAAACTTTTACAGGTGTTTTCTCTCCCATAATGTGAGCTTCTTGAGGGCACAGACTGCTTTACTTTTCTACTTGTGTTTTTATTACTTAGAACAGGAATTTGCACATAGTAAGAGATTACTAATTGTTTCATTTTTTTTTCCTTTCATTCATTTATGGCGCAGGTAACAGTAAGATGACTAACCTTACTGAAACACAGGGATTGTGGGAATGAATGTGGAATAAAAGGCTGAATTGGTAAATAAATAATAATCATATGCATAATAAATCATGGTTATTAAAAAAACCTTTCTATGATGTCATTTGATCTTCAGAAGAAGCCGTTTAAAAGGTAGAACATAACTCCATTTCACAGATAAGGAAACAGGCTTAGAGAAATTAAGTTACTTCTCCCATATTAAACTATGACTTGAAACCCAAGTCCTGTAAGTCTAATCATGCTTCCAATAATTTAATACCTGGCTGGAGTTGATATTTTATCCTATAAGTGATGCAAAGACATTGAAATTTTATCTTTTGAGCAAGGGAGTAGTATGCTTAAAGCAGTGATTTAGGCAATTAACTATGATGAACTATTAGTAAAATAATATCAACTCTGATACACTAGTTTTGTGATTCTGGGCAACGCATTTAATTCCTGAGTGGTCTGGACAGATTTTTATCTCCACTGGTCTAGGACATTTCCTGCCCAGGCATTCTCTTTACCAGGGAAATCACAGATCCAGTTAAATATGTCTGTGTAATAATGATGATGGTGAGGATGATGAGGATGATAAACAGAATGGAATGGAGGGGTGAGGCTAAATGCAGAGAAACTAATTACAAAAAGCAATCCAGGTTATGAGGCAGCTGCCAGTATGGAAATTTATATCTAATACTGCTTCCCTTACTATATGTCCTTGAATTTTCCGTATCTTTACATAAAGTAGAATAACCTCTAAAACTATACATTACATGTCAGGCAATAATTTGCAACAGAAGAGGGAGTTTCTTCATCTGGAGTTCCTTAAGTCACTGCAATCACAAGTCTCATACAAAAAATGTCAAGACATAACAAGACCTATTATTTTTTCCTCTCAGTAAGCAATATATGTGTGAACAGAAGAGATAATAGTCGTGAAAACACTTTGAGCTCTTCTAAAGGAATTCACCACATATCCAATGTATTTTTACTTAATCTCCTACCAGAATTCTCCCATGGTTCTTACCATGGTGCTGAGGCGAACTTGAAATCTCAAAGATTATGCCAGCATAACAACAAGCTGCAATGACTTTGAGCATGGACCCTATCTTTTTCAGGACCAGTGTGAGTTTCTTAAAAGCAAGAACTCTTTGGTTCTTGCCTTTGTATCTTTAGCACCTAGAAGAATAACTTGCACTTAGTGGGCACTAAATAAATATTTATGACATTCATTATTAAGTTTGAAAGGGGTTATTAGCAGGTTGGATACAAGATGATGACTTTTTTCAGTCCTAGAAACTCCTAAGGACCAGTTACTAAATCATAGAGGGGAATCTGTATCAGCCCAGGGGAATCCAATACTTTGTTTTCCACTGAAAAACACAGATACTTAGGTATTTAAACCACTGGAGTAACTATTATTATTCCTTACTCAATTAAAAAGTTGGCTACACATTGCCTACAATGGTTATAGCATATTTAAAAGACTAGCATATAATTAATTATTCAGTGAGAATGCTTCAGGAAGAGTGGAGATGTAAAAAGTTGCTTTTATTGGTAATTCTGAACTCAAAATATAGCTATCATTGATAACTTATATATGTATGATGCAACATATTTAAGATAATGGGCATTACAACACTAAAATAAAGCAGGATAATTATCATATGGTAATAGATATTGTGTCAGGCAAACTAATAGTCATAAAAATAACACAATTTGCCCTTAATTATAGAATCATGTAAAATTGTATCACCATAAAATTCTAATAAAGTTTATAAGTGACTTTTCCAAAAAAATTACATACCAATTTTTGACCTGTAAGACCTTCAAGGAGGTCCAAGAGTCTTCTTCCATCCTGAAAATCACTGAAAAGATCTTCAATGTGTTGCTTCCCAAACTAGGGAGAAAAACACAGTCTAATTAATTGAATTGCAATGCACTATACAAATTATTATATATGTTTCTTATTTCATTTATTTTCAGAAATTTCACCATCTTAATTGACCTCCACCACAATTTCTCAATGCCCTCTTACATAATCAAAAAGTAGATTAATACCTTAGAGGTCAGCCAGTATGACTGCTTCATTATTCAATGAGAGAAACTGAGGCACAGAGTACTGACTTGACTTTACAAAGCTCAGAAAACTAAGTTAGAACAGGGCCTTTAAAACAGTTCTCTTGGAGCCTTATCAAGTATTTTTTCACTGCACTGGGTACCTCCTTGTTTTCTAGCTACATGTGGAACAGTGTATCTTGGAGGAGAACGAAGGATGCAATAATAGTAATTGATATTTGACAGTTTCTAAAAGTTTATTAGGTACTTGCATACATTGTTTCATTTGAACTTCATAATAATTGTGTGAATTAAGTACTAGTGTAATTATTATCCCCATTTTATCGCTGATGAAATTGAGGCTCATGGGGCTTAAGGGATTTGCACATCTTCATGTAACTAACAAGTGTCAACTAAGCCTAGACCTCTTCTGACTCCAAGTCCTGCACTCTTTCTACAATACTTCTAAAAAAGGGACTGGTATTTGAAGTTATTTAACATTTGCAAGAAGATATAAGGCACATTACTATCTGCTTTGCATAAGAAAGACATTAACAGAATTCCTTCCCATAATCAGTCTACAACCGAATTTTCTCTTCTAGATGATTATTTGAATAACATCTTTGAGTAGAACTTTTCTTTTGAAATATACAACTTTTATAGAAATACTCTCTAACAAAAGATGCCAATAGAGATAAAGTTTCTAAGTGGGAATAATTTGTATAATTTAATCTTCTCTTTTGAATAGTTTCACAATATCTATGGCACAAAGGGTAAATTTTCTTTGCAATCATGCTATTTAAATAGCCATTTCTTAGATGTGGTGCAGTTTCACTCCCTAAAAATACAGTCACCAATATTCTTCCATTTCCCTCAAAAAAGGAGGGGGAAGAGAGAGAGAAAACTGAAAATAAAATAGATTTGAACATTTTAGAATAACATTAAAATACTTTAAAAGCAAATATATGTCTATATACAGTCACGTGCGTTATTTAATCCCATAATAATGTTAGAGTAGATGAAGTGCTGGCCTCAAAATCAGAAGACTTGGATTCAAGTTATAGCTTTGTTACATATGACTATATTAACTTGAATATGATGTTTAAACTTTCAGGGTGACGATCAACTCTACTAGATTGTAAGTTATAGAACAGCTGTCGATCTACATTGGTAAAGGTTTGCTCAAAAAAATTCTCAGTAACCAATAAAAACACAAAATCAAGCAAAATAGTTAACTATGCAAGTGTGCACAAAAATGTTAAGTCAGCTAAAAATAAACTATACCATAGCAATGAATGCATCCTCATGTCACTAAAATTCAACTGACTATGGATTCGTGCTTGCTCATTACTGAAAGAAGTTCACAGGCGGAGGTAGACCTGTTGAAGCTATCTATTTTAACAAGGTCAATGAAAAGAGAATGTAGGTATATTAAAACAAAAGCATGCTTACACATTAGAAATGAAAACTCTTCAAAAGTCCTGCATGTGCTGGGGCAAAAGCTATTTGACCAAGAGATTAAAACCAATCATGAGGCCACTAGGTGGTACAGCAGATAAGGCCCTAGGACTGGAATTAGGAAGACCTGAGTTTAAATCCAGTCTCAGATACTTATTAGCTGTGTGACATGTGACAAGTCCCAACCTCTTTTTGCCTCAGTTTCCTCATTTCTAAAATGGGAATAATAATAACACCTATCTCCCAGAGTTGCTGTGTGGATCAAATGAGATAATTGTAAAGTTCCTAGCACACAGTAAGCACTATATATTTTAGTGATTATCATTATTGCTGTTGCTGTGAGAAGAAGAGAAATATATATCTCAATAAGTTTAGGCTAAATTTAGGCATCTTTTTATTTATCCATCTAGAATAAGCTTAAACAAAATCTTAGTCTAAACTTGTTGAGCTATCCATTTCTTTATTTCATACTTGTCAACCTGACTGGAATTGGCCTCCAACCTGTGAGTGGCCAGTGCCAAACAAACAGAGCAGGCTAGAGACAGAAGAGTCAGGACACTAACAGAAGTTTGATTAATTTCAGACTGAGGAAAATGATGTATGCATATAGAAGCCCTCCCCCCGCCCCCAAAGAAGAAGAGCTTAATATCTGGACTAAAGGCAGGTCATACACACACACACACACACACACACACACACACACACACACACACACACGCATGCACATGCACAGCTAGGCTGGACCATGACATAATCATTTTTAGGGCTTGAATTACTGTTGCCACGGGCTCTGTGGAAACAGTATTGTCTCAAGTCTTGGGAGTCACGTTCACCCTGAAGGACACAAAACCAAAGAATTGCAGTGCCTGTCAGTTACAAGGAACAGGGATTGTGAACACGCAATGGATGGATGAACTGGGAAATAAGGGGAGCTAAATCCCTCAGTGAACAGCTGGTGCTGGTCCAAGTAACATACTTTGCTCTCAGAGGGTGATATCATCCTGAGTGCAAAGGATTATTGTTATGCTAAGCTCAGGATGTAGCTGGCTTGCTGGGGCCATAGCTCTGGGAAACAGACTAACTCCAAAATATTTTGACATACACATGGTTTTAGTCTCTACATCAAAATATATAATTTACTAATGGATGCATTACTTGTGACAAGTTTTCAGTATTCATCAGTTTTTCCTAGTAAGCAAATCACCACATACCTACTAAAATAAAAAAGACTGCTTAAGTATACAAGCACAATGGATATTTAATTTTTTTGGAGAACTAGCTCTTTAGTTTGTCAAATATCACATAGAAGTTAATGTTCAAGCATCAAATAATAAGAAAAAGTGAATAAGACTTCTATGAATTCACAGAGGATAATATTAATTCCAAAATGAATAAATGAATAATATGAGACATGAATTTCCCTAGAAGATAGCAATGACTCAACGGCACCAAACATGATCTAATGGGCTTTTTCCACATTAGAGATGGAGAAAAACATTGAAAATTATTCTTTAAAGATATTTTTGGCAATTTTCTTTTTTTTTGTTATTTTGGTCCAATTTTTCATCTTTGAGATTCTTCAGGGAAAGTCAGTCATTCTCAACTACATTTAGTAATGTACTGATATGTTCATTCTCTCTCTCTCTCTCTGTGTCTCTCACACACACACACACACACACACACACACACACACACACACACGTGACTCCCTAGCACCAGCGGAATCAAATATAAAATCTTCTCTTTGGTATTCAAAACGTTTGTAACTAGGCCTCGTCCTACCTTTCCAGTTTTTTACTTTCCCTATCTTCCTTCCTTCCACATACTCTGGACACTGGTCACATTGCTGTTCTTCCCATAATAGACCCCCTCTCCCTACCTTAGGCATTTTCACTAGCTGTCCCCTATATGCCTTAGATTCTTTCCTTTTTCATCTCTATCCCCTGCCCTCACTATCTTCCTTCAAGTCCCAACTAACCTATGCCTTCTAAAGAAATCTTCCCCAATCGACCTTAATGCCAGTGCCTTTGTTGATCATTTCCATTTTATCCTCTATATTTCCTGTTTCTACATAATTGTTTATAAGTTGTGTCTCCTATTAGTCTGGGAGCTTTTCGAGAGCAGGGACTGATTTTACCTTCCTTGTAATTTCAGTGCATAGCACAGTTCCTGACACATACTAAGTGGTTAATAAATGACTGTTGATTGAAACACACTATGGCACATTTACTATATGTGATTTTTCCAGGTGTCATTTTATGGGGCATTTTCCAGATCTCATGGGGAAGGTTGGTAAGTCTATGCCCCATTGAACAATAACAAGTTATCATACCCATCCTAAAGCAATTTATCTTAATTCAATTGAAGCACAGAAGCAGAAGAGCTATTTCTAGCCTCTGATAAAAACTGCATCTTCCCATAAGGTCCACTTCTGACATCACAGTCTTTTCTACAAACTATCTTTTGTCATTTGTCAGGATATCATTCCTCCTGCATCCCAGGGATCTCTTTTAGATAGAATTTGGTTCAGCAGCCTCTTTATTACTAGCCAAGATATACTTCTTTAGCAGTAGTCCACGTAATGTCCCTGTGGATCTTTTAGCCTGCCTGACTAGCTCGTCAGTTAGGAAATAAGAGGTTCTTTTCTCCCTCAAAAACACAATCTTGAAACAAGTCAGATACCTAGCTGACCTAACCCAAATAAAGGAAGATCTATTCATTTATTGCCTTCCTCATCTTTCAGAGGCAAGAAAAACAAATTGTTGCCTGCTTCTATTTCTCTTACGTCATCAAAATTCTCTTAAATCTTTTTGTGATTAAAATGAAATGAAACATGAGCAAAATGAGAAAATGGAGAGAGGTTAAAAGAAACTCAACCCGACATGGTGATATCTCTGACAAGACAGTTTAATTACAGTTTCTGTACCTAAGTCTTGTAAAATAAACTGCCAATCTCATGAGACTTCAACGGAAGGCTGCTCTTCAGCAGTAACTAAAATATAAATGAATTTTCTAATAATACTACCAGTGAATCTCATCCTGAAACTAGAGTAATTCAACATTTGGGGAGTATTACTCAAGCTTTCCTTCTCAAACTAACCAAAGAAGTTCAACGGAAATAATACTATTAGTTTTTGTGAAAAAAAAGAAAAACTTGGGGCAGAGAAATATATGGACCTTTAGACTGACAGGGAAAACTCACATGATGAAATGTGGATGAGTTAGGAGAAAATAAATGCTACCTTGAAATATAAAAATATTGTTCTTCTAATGAAAAATTAGACAACTTAAATTATACATTATCTCATAAATATTTACCACATGAGTTTGAAAGGTAAGGCTGGCTACAAATGTGGAGTAAATGGGGCTGAAAGATTGATCTAA